CATCTCGCGCATCTCTTACCATTGTGGTGCTCTGTTGAAACTTGTTGATGTTGGTGGTGGTGGTAAGATCGAAGGGGTTGAGCTTTCGATTGACATGTGGATGCTAGATGAGAGTAACCTCTTATCCCACCAGCACTGAACTACGTGAAACTGCAGCCACTGGACTACGATCTCCGTTGGGAGTGTAAAGTATATCTTGGTACTTCTAGTAGGGAGCTGACGAATCCTCTGAGCACCAGCTGATTGCTCAGGACAATCTTCATGGACTTTATGTGGTGGCTGCAGCCCATGGCCGACTGGGTTGAGCAGTGACTGCATCTAGTTGCAAAACAAAGTTATATAGGAGTATAGTTGTTTCCACCATTCCTATGTGATACCAATGAAAGGCAAATTGTGAGAGAATGGTTTTTCTGTCAAGCTTAAACTCCACATTTTTGTGCATCACCTTGAACATCACGTTCTCAATGATCTTGTGGCAAATGGTTCAATTTAGAACAGCCGTCTTTGTAGGATAACTTTGCAAACGAAATAATTTCTCTTGACCTGTGAATCTCCTTGCCTCATCCTGCTCAGTCAACAAGGCTGTCCTCATGAAGTGGGAGTCCTTCATACACTTGAAGGATTCTTGTCTCCAGTCGTACTTGAACCCAACTTTCGCGTAACATGTTATTCAATGGTGCTTTGGCTCCGTGTGCGGGAGCAAGTCCTTTTGTTTCAACCTGGATCTAAAGTAAATTCCTTTCACTTTCCGCCCCCCCCCCACCCCTCTTCCTCTTATTAATTGTAGTTGGCGATGATGAAAATTGCAACCATACAATGTCTCCGTGTAGTGTATTGAACCGTGTGACTTAATGTAGAACATTCAAGAGTCCATCTCTCAAGTTGGTCAAGAACTTGGTGTGTTTTAAGTGGGAGTGGTAGGTTTCTTTGTGCTGGGTTGGTGCAAAATCCATTTGGAAAAGGCATCCACATGATTCAGGTCCATTCTATTGACGCGAAAACCAAAAAAAAAAAAAGAAACAAAAAAAAATAACAAGACTTTGTATATGCACGTGACTCTTATCTTATCTACATATTTTTGTTACAGTGAGAGTAAGTTTGTGTTACACTATACATTAGCTGAACTATGTTGGTGTAGTTCAAACAGTTAGAGGGGGTAAGAATGATTGTGTATTACAATACACACCTTCTCCAACTTCTCTTCAATTGCATTGGGGTTTCATTGCTCTCTCTCTCTCTCTCGTATATAAAGACAACCCAAATAAACTGTAACCTCATAAACGTTTTTTCTTTTTCATTTCAATTTAGACGGGGGGAGGGGGGGAGTTGAAGAAAGAAGGAAGATGATGATGATGAGTAAAAGAAGAAGAAGAAGAAGAAGAAGAAGAGGGGAACAAAAGTAATAAAGAATGAGAAAGAAAAGAGAGGGGGAATTGAGGGGAGTGAAAAGGGGAGGGAGGAGAAGAAGATTTATTTTTTTTTTTTCTGGGTACTAAACGTATAAAGTGTAAATTAGTGGAGTGAGTTGTGTAGTTTAGATGGTGGTATGTTTTGTGTGTGTGTGTAGTGTGTGTGTGTAGTGTGTGTGTGTAGTGTGTGGTGTGTGGTAAAGAAGGCAGGTATAGCAGCAAAGACAAAGTGGTGTGAGTTGTAATAGCCATATGCCATATGTGGTGTGATGTATAGTGTGTAGGGTGTATTGGTGTGGTGTGAGGTCATGCAGAATCAGAAAATAGAAGGAGGAAAGCAAAAAAAAAAAAAAAAAATTAAAATCTTTCTCTCCCCCCTCCCCCCCACAAATCACAAAAGAGAACAAACAACAAATAAACATTAGAGATTAACACAATCACACGATTATTAACATTGAACATTAACTATGTAACATATACCATTACAGCAGCGGATAACACTTCTCCACTTTCAAGTAAGGAGTAATAGTAATAGCAGTAATAGTAGTAATAGTAGTAGTGGTAGTTGTTGTTGTCAATTTCCAACCAATCACAAGTAGCAGCTAAAACTATTCCCACTTTTTACATATACTCGTATTACACACATTGTATAAATACTCAACTAAATTTCCCTTTCAACAACAGACACCAACAACATACTTTTCATAACACACATTTCCTTTTACTATTCATTTTCAACTTTTAAGTATCTCAATTGAGCTTTACAACTACACCAGATAGCATAGTATAACACACATACACACTCACACTATCAAAACTCACTTTTGCTGTTCTAGTATTTTCTTTACACACACACACACGCACAAAATAGTACTCCGAAGGTCGCAAAAAACAGGCTGAGAGAATTGACTTTTTTGCGCTTTTTCTAAACACACATATATACTCACTTTTTACTGTCGTCACAATAGTACGATCTTAACCTACCAAAAAAAACAAAAAAACAAAAAAAAAGCATTAAACCATACTATTACTAGACAAAATGGGGGGCCAAAAGAAAAAGAACAAGTCTGATATTGTTCCATTAGATTTGAATAACATTAAACCATTGGACCACTTGCAACCAGTTCCAAAAGCTAGGTCTTCCTCCATCACTTCTGTTGAGTCGATTGAGGAGCCAGGTGTTGTCAAGCAAGTTTTGGTTCCACCCACAATTCGTGAATTTGACGAATTGGAACAATTTGAAGCTTTTGTTCGTGATGAAACTTGGGACAATGAATTTGATTATTTCCATGGTAGATTACACTATTATCCACCATTTGTCATGAAGGAGTGTCATGATGATGTTGAAAAGATTAAACCAACTTCAAACAAGAATTCGAAAAAGTTTAAACGTAACTTGCAACACCATATCAAGAATCATTTGATTAAAGATTTACTGAAGTGTTGTGGTTATGAGTTGAATTTCGATAAGGGAGAAATGACTGAATCCTTTGACAAATTGTCTTGGACTTTTAGAGATGAAACTGATCATGGTTTTAGTAAAGAAGAGGAGGATTTGTATGATAGGCATTGGAAATTGGAATTGGATATCTCTTGTACTAATGATTCAGCCATGGTTGATGTTGATTTCAAAGCTATTCCTATTTTGAATTAACACTTTCACCAAGTTGGCTATTCTTTGTACCTTTTCTTTTTTTTTTTATAGTTTATGTTGAAATGATTATGATGGAATGATGGATGGATGAATGAATGAATGAATGAATGAATGAAATGTCTTGTTCTTTTAAAAAAATTTGTTGTAGTGCAGAGGTACCCTGTTATTGAGCGTATACAATTGTTAGGAAATAGATACTGCTGTTCTCATATTTGCAAAATTTCAATTATTCACTTCTGTGTTTCCTGTTTAGTCTGTTCCAAAGTACAAACTATCTATAAATCTGTTTCTAAAATGCCAGTGACTGTCTAAGAATCGCTCTTCGTTATACCACAATTTCGTCTCTTTACTACTCTTCTCTGGCTCCTTTTCCCCCTCTTGCTCAACTTGTGGTATGTCTATAGATGATAGTTTCCCAATAACCAATTTGACATTGGGGAACACATTCAAAATCCTCCTAACTCCAATCTCAGTCGATAAATAACTCACAAATACAATATTCTCCTGTTCAACTTGATGATCCACCAACACTTGGATTGCCATTATAGCACCTGCCCCACTAATGGTTTGTGAATCAAACAACAATATCTTGCCTATGCTGTTGATATTATGTGGTAAGCTCTCATAGTGCAATTGAGGCTCACCAGTCGATGAGTCGCTTTGTATCAACATTTTTCCAACACTTAGCTCAGGAAACGTCTTTTTCAAAGAAGTCATGAAGCAATCGCCACTTCGAATGATACTAACGGCAACCACTTGCAACTGTTTGGCCTGCAACCCTTCAAACTTGTAGTGCTTCTCAAAACTAGTTATTTGCTTTGGTGTAAATTGGAAATAACTCAGTTGAGCATATTCAATCAATACTCCACTTAACCGATTAAAGTAGAAAATAAAATCATCCCTTGACGTTTGCTTATTGAACAAGATTGAATTGATGCCTCGTAGTTGATTTGTGGGTGGCAAGATTTTCAAATTGGGATAATTCTCCACTTTAAACTCAATACTGTACCCCAAACTTTTCAAATTCTCCAAGTGTTTTTTGGACTTGAGAGCTAATTGGTTCTTGATATGTTTGATCATGAGGTTGATGGCTATCGTATTGTCCAATCCTCGAGGTATGACCAAATCGGCATTTTCCTTAGTCGGGTTGATATATCTGACAGCATTGGGCTTGACAAATGTCGTCCATTGCTTGATGGCTCCATTCAAATCTCTGCCCCTATAGAGAATATCCCTAATCAACCGCCGTGACAAACAAATATCCAAGTCGGTGTCAACATAAATTTTCAAATCCATCATTTCCAACAATCTGGGATCATACAAAGCGTACAAACCTTCAACTATAATGACATTTGCCCCATATATGGTATTTGTCTTGTCAGTTCTTGCATGCTTGGCAAAAGAATAGACTGGGATAGTCGATTTACCTCCTCTTTTCAATGTGCGTACAGTCTCAACAACTGCATCCAAATCCAACAGCAGTGGAGTATCGAAATCGTACTCATTTGCAAATGCCCTTTTACTCTCCTCGGGTGTTAATGACTTGTAGAAATTATCAAACGATAAAAGCACTGTCCATGGTTGATTGATACCTTGAATTATTTGTTGTGAAATTGATGTTTTCCCACTTCCTGAATTTCCAGCAATTCCAATTATATAAGGAGCTGTCCAAGGGGGGATATATGACGAATGGGCAAACTTGTCACCAAGATGTTCATCTTGCAAATGTGGAACCCCATCAAGTCGAGATGGAGTTGATATCATCGAGGCAGAAGAAACCGAAACTGTTGACTCTGAGGGGCTTGTAAATGATGATCGGCCAAGCTTGGATGGATGGGTAACACCTAAAGTTGGGCTTGCAACTGATGATGAAGGAGTGTCAAGGTTCCGTAGGTGGCCAGTAATCCTAGAGGGACCCTCGTCCAACTTCAAATCACTAAATGATTGTGACGCTTTCGTGGGTTGGAATGGTGATCCATCAGCTTCTTGAAGTGGTGAGTCCTCTGTGTCATCGACATCTCGCACATTATCGTCTGTAAGTGAAATAAAAGAGGATGTCGAACCCTGTGTTGGTGCAATTCTAGAGTACCTTCGTTGTTTGGGGGTCAGTGACATCTCATATGGATCGGGATGACGTTTTGATCTCTTCTTTTCGTAAGCGAGGTGTGTACTGTGTTGTTTTGAAGATCATCGCCGGTATTGATTTCGCTACCTTTTGAATTTCCCACCAAAACAAAGTGTTGCACAAACCTTTCAAAAGAATATCCCACACTAGGCACATTTGAAAGGGCCCCACAGATATCCGAGTTGAGGAGATTAAAGGGACAATTTCACCTCAAGGGAACAGTGAGCGGTTATGGATCCTTCAAGACAAAGTGGAACGGGGCATCGAAGAAGACAAGCCAACATTGAATATGACGATGATCAATCTGATGGTGCAGTACCTCTAAATACTACTGCGAAAACAACAACCGAGTCTGATACAAGAGATGGCCAATCTGACTTAAATCAAGCTTCATCTACACAAGATCTGATTTTACGAAGGCGACCTGACGATATCCAAACCCAACTGAACACTAATCGCTCACTACAGGTAGTTCAATCTCAAAATGAATCAAGGAGAAGCAACACATATCGGCCAAGTAATTACAAAACCACCGATCGCACGTCTCAAGAGGTGGATAGGAACTCCCTTCCCAGTAAAAGAGATTTACTTCATGGCAAATTCATCAAAAGCAATAATGAGTCCGATAAGATGGTGAAACGAAAAGTCGATTGGGAAACAGAACAATTCAATAAAGCAAAGCAGTTGAATCTTCAAACTGATGACAGAATCCATCTAGCAGACAAGGATGACTACGAATACGTGTTTGATGAATCCCAATACGTCGACTTTGATGACAACGAGGAAAGTGTATTGAATGGGGAAGAGGAACAAGAAGCTGGGCCATCTACTAAATTGGCAGACTTGGAAAAAGTGAAAACGTCGCTTCCTGTTTACCGATACAAACAGGAATTTTTGGATCTACTAAAGGATAACCAGGTGATTATTATTGTGGGAGAAACAGGTTCAGGAAAGACAACTCAATTGCCTCAGTACCTATATGAAGGTGGCTATTCTCATGGAGATACCAAAATCATAGGGTGTACGCAGCCAAGACGGATTGCCGCTGTGTCTGTGGCTCAAAGGGTTGCTGATGAAATGGGAACCTCGTTGGGGGGAGCAAAGGGTAAAGTGGGCTACTCGATTCGGTTTGATGACAACTGTTCCCCCTCCACTATCGTAAAGTTTGCGACTGATGGTATGCTTTTGAGAGAGTTTCTCAATGATCCCGGTCTATCCAACTATGGTGCTATAATGATTGATGAAGCACATGAACGTACATTGTCTACTGAGATTTTGTTGAGCTTGTTGAAGGATTTGTCGATACAACGGAAAGATTTAAAGATTGTCATTGCTAGTGCCACAATCAATGCCGAAAAGTTTTCAAGTTATTTCAACGGTGCACCCATATTGAATATACCTGGACGGCGGTTTCCTGTAAAGATACACTACACCAAGCAACCTGAGGCAAACTATCTACAAGCGGTAATGACCACCATTTTCCAAATACATTTGACCCAGCCACTTCCCGGTGACATCCTAGTGTTTTTAACGGGACAAGATGAAATTGAAAAACTCGAAACTCAAATACAGGATGCCATTGTCAAGATTGGAGACCAATTGGAGGACAGAAAATTGCTGGTATGTACTGTGTATGCTAACTTGCCCAGCGAGTATCAAAGCCGGATATTCGAGCCTGCGCCGATCAATACCAGGAAAGTCATTTTGGCAACAAACATAGCCGAAACATCCATTACTATCGAGGGTGTTTCATTTGTGGTTGACCCAGGTTACGTCAAACAGAATGAGTATAACCATTCGACGGGAATGGAAAGTTTGGTTGTTGTTCCTTGCTCCAAGGCCAATTGTGATCAAAGAGCAGGTCGTGCAGGAAGAGTGGGGCCGGGAAAGTGTTTCCGGATGTTCACCAAGCACTCATTTGATAATGAAATGGATTCCTCGCAAAAACCCGAGATTCAACGGATAAATTTGAACTCGGTTATTTTGTTGTTGTTGTCTCTTGGGGTCAACGACTTGTTGAATTTTGAGTTTCTAGACCCACCACCGAAGGAGAGTATTATGAAATCATTGAGTCTTTTGTACTCTTTGGGAGCAATCAAGTCTAGTGGGAAACTCTCCAAAACTGGTTTCAAAATGAATGAGTTCCCACTTGACCCGGTATTGACGAAATGTATATTGAGCAGTGAGGCATTTGGCGTTACTAGGGAGATTTGCATAATCATCGCCATGTTGACAGAGTCAGCAAACTTGAAGTATTCTCCAAAACAAGTTGATCAAGAGGTGATTAAGAAAAGACACAGTCAATTTGATGCACCCGAGGGAGACCATTTGACATTGTTGAACATTTTCGAGCTGTGGCTGAACACCGGGTATTCAAAGCAGTGGTGTGAGGACCATTTCCTACAATACAAGACTCTACAACGAGCACGTCATATTTTCCAGCAGGTGATTAAACTTTGCAAAAAAGTCGGTGTTGATGTGAATAGCAATCGGATTGGACGCGGTGAGAGTGAGAAGCATGTTGGTGGTAATGAGAGCTTGAATGGTGGAAAAGCGGTGCCACAGTTCTACACAGCCATTCAAAGACTGTTGGTTAGTGGCTTTTTCAACAATATAGTCAAACTCTCACCCATGGGAGACTGTTATCAACCATTATTGAAATCAAAACAAAACGTGCCTTGTTTTGTACATCCGTCTTCGACCTTGTTCAAAAAGAAGATGCATAAGCCAAAGTATTTGGTATATTATGAATTGGTACTAACTAGTAAAGAGTACATGAGAAACTGTTTGATTTTGGATGAGCTGATTGTGAAAAAGATTCAGAGTGAGACTTGAGTGGACTGGAAAGTTTGAGAGAGTGGATCTGGCACTGAATTTGAAATTTGAGTTCTGTGTGTGTGGAGAATCTCTAAATTGGAAGTTAAGGAAGTTGGTAAAATGAAGATTTGGAGTTTGCTGAAATATCACTGATTCAAGTAAAGCTAGAGCAATTGGAGTGTCAAGTAGTCCAATTGCGATTCAAGCATCACGTTGCCGTTGATGAGTGAACGAGTGAATGAGTTGGGTGAAAGTAGCATGGCTCATCAACTTTGATCTATTTGAAGTGACTCCCTCACTTCCAGATTTTTTGCAGTCTCTTGTGCTGTGAAACGACACAGCCTTGAAAGACATATACGCACCTCATCTATAGTTTTAACTCAGACTCCTAATTAAATTTTTACCAGCATGTAGCCTCCTATGGAGTAGTAGACTACGACTGACTTTCTTCATGTGGAGAAGGAGTCAAAAAAAAAAAAAAAAAAAAAAAAAAAAAAAAAAAAAAAAAAAAAAAAAAAAAAAAAAAAAAAAAAANACACACCCTATAAAAAAAAAAAAAAAAAAAAAAAAAAAAAAAAAAAAAAAAAAAAGACAGAAAAAAAAAATTATGAGCGGAAAAATTTCGAAATTTGAAAATTCAAGATTACTACAGCTACTAAAACAGCCTTTCGCCTCCCCCCTATCTTTACAGCTTAGATAAATTCTCCCCCCCTTCCGTTTGTGACATGCTGAAGGTAATAGATCTCATCCGACTGCTAGGTCGAGATGAAAAATTTATCTCATTTGAGTTTTTCCCTCCAAAGACTGATTCAGGGTTCAGAAATTTGCTTGCAAGGTTGAATCGTTTGCTGGCATTTAACCCATTATTCATCACGGTGACCTGGGGAGCTGGTGGATCAACTAGTGAAAAGTCACTAGATTTGGCAGCTACATGTCAAAAGAAAATTGGAGCAACAACTGTTTTACACTTGACTTGTACAAACACCAACAAGGAAGTTATTGATGCTGCATTGAAGCGTGCAAAAGAAAACGGCATAAGAAATATACTAGCATTGAGAGGAGATCCACCGAGGACTGAAGAGTATTGGACACCCAATTGTCAATTCAAGAACGCTGTGGATTTGGTAAAGTATATCCGTGAGGAACATGGTGATTACTTCTGTATTGGGGTTGCTGCATACCCCGAGGGCCATGTAGATGGATCAGATACATCAAATCAAAATCCTCGCAAGGATATCCCGTATTTGATTGAAAAGGTTAAAGCCGGAGCTGACTTCATTATCACCCAGTTGTTTTTTGATGTAGACAAGTTTATTGCTTTCGAAAAGTTGATCAAGCAAACACCTGAGTTGAAAGATGTGCCATTAATTCCCGGTCTTATGCCCGTTACCACTCACCGCGTGTTTACAAGAGCAACAAAACTTTCACATGCCACTATTCCAAGGAGTATCTATGATCAATTTGAAGAAATAAAGAACGATGATGATGCTGTCAAGGCTGTTGGTGTTGACCTCTTGTGTGACATTATAAGCAAAATAGACGGAAGCACAGATATAAAAGGTTACCACTTTTATACTCTAAATTTGGAAAAAGCAGTGGCATCTATTTTAAACAAGTCTACAGTTTTGCATCCCGTTTTGGAACGACCATCTCCAGTGTTTGGTATTGAAGATGCAATTGCTTCTGACTCTGACGAGGAAGACGAAGTGATAGCACCACCACAGCAGCGGAAGCATAGGAAGTCATCCGTTATTGAACCATTGACTCAAAAAGCCGTTGTTGACATCAGTAGGGGATTGGGTGCATTTGGCAAAGAAGCCATCTGGGATGATTTCCCTAATGGTAGGTTTGGAGACTCAAACTCGCCTGCATATGGTGAGATTGATGGATACGGGCCCAATTTGAAAATTTATGACAAGAGCGAGGCAATATCCAAGTGGGGGTCGCCCGAACTGGTACGCGACTTGAGTCGCATTTTCACTTCCTATCTTTCAGGGAAGATTGACGTCATCCCATGGGCCGATGTGCAGTTGTCACCTGAAACAGCATTGATTCAGGAAGAGTTGTTTGAGTTGAATGAAAAAGGGTGGTTTTCTGTGGCTTCTCAACCAGCAGTAAATGGTTGCAAATCAACCGACAATATTTTTGGTTGGGGTCCGCCTAATGGTATTGTATACCAAAAGTCTTTTGTTGAGTTGTTCATGCCAGCTCGTGATTGGGAGCAGCTTAGATCGAGGCTTGATGGTTCAACTACATATTATGTCGGAAACAAATCGGGGAAAATCGAGCTGAATTTACCAATTGAACAAGATTATTCTAAATCAAAAAGCGCTGTAACGTGGGGAGTGTTCCCACAAAAGGAAATCTTACAACCCACGGTGATAGACTATGAATCTTTCAAAGCATGGAATGAGGAGGCGTTTTTGTTGTGGCTAGAATGGGCGAGATGTTACAAAAAGAATCTGAAAAGCTTCGAATTGTTGAATTCAATATACAATGACTATGTGTTGGTCAGTCTAGTACATCATGATTTCCCCAACGAAGATGCTTTGTGGGAGCAGTTGTTACAATAGCAATTAGCGACGTGGAAATTGTGAACCAGTATTCAAATAAAGTACTGCCATATGTATAGAGAAGGTATGTATTATGAGCTGGATAAAATGTCAATTTCCCTTGTCGATAGTCCATCATTCAACTGAGACACCAAATGTGCATCTGATGCATGTATACCTTTGTACTCGCAATTTTTGTGGTTTAGTAGAAGTACACCCCTCAGTATTGTAGCTCCCGGCTTGACTAAAAGTCGACCTCCCAATTTTATTGGAATGGGAGTACTCGTTTGCTCATTGCGTACAAATTTCAAAGGTTCCAACTCATAAGCGTAGATGAAATGGTCGTCCTTGTCTCTTAAAAGAAGCTTGTAAGTCGAAAACTGCTTTGATTTCACGGTGGACGACAGCTCGCTTTCTTCATCGTTGATTTGACGAATAATCCTCGTTGACTTGTTCAACCGATCAACAAACCGATTGTTTGGGTCCAGAATCTCTTTCCACTCATCTATTTGATTCAATTTGGATACACTTATGTCTTCCACGCGAATAATGTGTAGTAGTACTGCGTGCCTTAGTGTGGCACTCTCTTGGTTGGCAAACTCTGCGGGTATCAAGGACATTTAGAAGTAATGTGCAATGTAAACATGTAAAGAGGTCCAGTTGTCATACCGCGTATAAATTGTGACTTTTTCCCTCGCAAAAGGTTCACGCGGTGATCGGTGGAGTCGACCAAGTATAAATGCAGAGGTGGTAGCGTCTCTTCTCGCAAAAACACAATACACGAGATGAACAAATTTGGGGATCTACCTGGTATTGATTACAATGGTCAGG